CCCCCCCCCGTCCTCTCTAACGGCGACAATTGTGGATTGTGTTTATAACAAAACTGTTGGTTCACAATGGCATGTCCATTCTCACGTGGGTATGGGAGAGGTCGAGTGGATGAGGTCAGCGATGATAAGCCAGAGAGGGCTGAGGATTTCGGGAGGAAGAAAAACGAGAGGTTTAAACCATCAAGACAATCATCGGTGCAGATCACGTCGTCGTTGCTAGGGGAGGAGATTGATGAACAGGAGGACACACAGACTTTAAACCTGAAACATCTGAGAGCTGCTGTTCTTGTTCTCACCAATCCTTCGGTATTGATGGCTTTCATTTTTTATTGATGTTTTTTGGGTGTTGGGCGGAGGAGGAGAAAGTTGATTGTTTCCGGAGGCATGGTACTGATTTTTAGAAAATGCAGTGGATTGATTTAAGGTACTTCCGCAGTAAGTATACTTGGTGAAAATTTCGAAATGGTATAAAGACGCAATATTTGGATCATATGTTGTTGACCACATTAAAAAGATATTTCCAAAATTTCAAGTCCCTGGTCCACCCCATTTTTGAGATATGCATCGCCAAACATTCAATTTTTGTGTTTTTTCCATTTTTGACGATGTATATCTCGAAAATGGGGTGGACAAGGTACTTGAAATTTTGGGAATAGTTTTTGAATGTGCTCAACAACATATGATCCAAATATTGCGTCTTTATACCATTTCGAAATTTTCACCAAGTATACTTACTGCGGAAGTTCCTTAACTGAATTCTGGGGATATTTCAAGGACAGGTTGAACTCGGGAACTCATTGTGAAAATTGAATATTATATTCAATTGAATTTTAATAGTTTGGGGATCCAATTTTTAATTAATCTATTAATTTTCTAATTAATAATGTTTTCATTCTTTTCATGAAATTCCAGAAATAATGTCATTCATCAGTAACAACACAGGTAGAAATTTTATACCAATCAGTCGTTGTTACAGATTTCAAAATTTTTTAATTTAAGTTTCAAGAGTTATTTGTTAAAGAGTAATTTGTTTTCTGTGTTTTAATTACAATTATACGAGATCAAGTAAAAATTACTGGGCATTGGAAAAGTTTTATTTGGTTCATATCCAGGTTTTTTTTCTCAGTATATTTTAGAACGAAAGAGTTCAGGAATTCAGATATTTTCGATGGAAACAGGCAACTTTTGCCTCTCTGTCGATCGATATAGGACTAATCTGGTAGAAAAAAATTGAAATTTCATCAGATGCATATAGTTGTAATTTTTAGGACAGGGACATTGAATTGATTCAGGAAAGAAAAAAGAGTAAAACTTGAAATTTCATTAGGAATTCAGTGGAATTCTAAATTTTTCACCAGCAGAAATACTAAAACTCCCGAAATTACTTGAATTCCATAAAATGTGAAATTATACAAAAAAAATACAAATTTCATTTTGAGACTTACGATCTCAAATTTAGACATATGCAAGTCTTAAATTAGAACTTTCGAACATTTTGAGTTTAGTGGTGAAACTCTCAACTTGAGATTTTTGAAAGTCTCAAGTTAAGAAAATCGAATGATTTTCGAAAGTCTCAAGTTTCGACATTAAGACTTTCGAATGTATTATGTTGAGACTCGAAAATTTCAATTTGAGACTTCAACATATTAATTTGAACCTTTCAAATCTTGATTTGACAATTGCAAATCTCAATTTAAAGCCTCTGAAAGTCTTAAGTTCTTTCAAAAGTCTTAATTTGAGACTTTCGAATGTCTCAAGTTCAAACTTTTGAATATTTCATGTTGAAACTTGAAAATTTCAATTTGATACTCAAAAATATCAATTTAAAACTTAAAAATCTCAATTCAAATCCTTTGAAAGTCTCAAGTTACACTTTGGAAAGTCTCAAGTTACAATTTGAAAGTGTAGTAAAGACTTTCAGAAGGCTATAATTGACATTTTCAAGCCTCACATAAGGAAATCTCACTTGGAAATCTTTGAAATCTCACCATAAGGATTTTTCCGTTTACATGAATTATCTTCATATCTATTCATTTCCATGGCATAATTGCCCCGGAAATAACAATTTCCATCGATTTTTTTAAAGTCAATTTTATATAAAAAGTATTTCAAAAAATATCACAATATCTGAGAAATAAAAGTGCTTCTCAGACAAAATTTCTTCAACCGTAATAATTTTGCCGTTCCTCCCTTATCGTATTCCTTATTACAGTTATACTTATAGTTACGGTTGTTGTTACAATTATGCAATAGCTATAATTGTGCAATGGCTTATAGCCGAATAAATCGGTGACAGACGTTACATGGTTTTCTATTCAGGGACAACGACCAAAATCCAGGAGTAATTTTTAACAAATCTCTGTCTCCATGTGCTAAAGATCATCAATCAACCAAAGCCTAGTTCCCACAGAACTCCCAGACATTTTCCCATCTTCCCTCACTATCAAATTATTCACAAATTAGCGATGACTCCCCAAACTACATACTGAATCCCCCTTCCGATCCCTCATACCATCAATCAAGCTAAAATTACCCAAATAATTTCACCTCAAATAATTCCGAAATACCGGTCTTTCCAGCACCCGAGACAAGAAGTAATTAAAATAATGGAACGACAAAATAATCACGAAAAACTTCCTCCATTTTATTAATTACTTCTCACAGAGATGAATTCTCAGTGAGTTTAAAACTCCCGGGAATTTAATTTTATCATTAACGAGCGAATGGAAAAAATATGCATTGAATATCTTCTCTAGCTGATTAAATTTATACAAATTCAAGTGAGATAAATTACAGAAGAGATGATATGAATGTTAATTAAGAATTAATTCTGAAACTTTGGAAATAGAATCACCTTGCTACCGGCAATTAAGACATCTGTCTCGAAATTGCTCCTGTGGATCATAAAAACGGCAATGAGGGCATCGCGGTCGTTCCTGTATTAACGAACCGCTCCGCCACGTACCCCTCCTCCCCCAGCCCTCCTCCATCGCTCGCACCGTGAACTGTTCTACTATTTAACCTCTGCGAATCTCGTATGCAGACATAAACACATAGACAACAGTAATTTGAGTGGATTTGATGGCCTGTTTCAGGATTTACCTCATCCGTAGCATGTGAATTCATTGTAAACGAATAATCCAGGAGTACGAGTCAATATTGGGTCTCATCTTGACTGACAAAATGAAGGATATTCCACTGATAAGAAAAATTTTCCACAAAATATTCATTTACTTAAGAGAAGTATTTATTTTTTCACTACCGTATTCTTACAGTCGAATCATTCCCAGGTCATTCACTATGTTTCAATTATGACAATTATATTGCTCTAGAAGGTGATCATGTTAGTTATGATCTTGAGTGAACTCCTTCAATAATTATCAACATCAAATAATTAAGGGCGTTTACCTATCAAGCGGACAACTCAGTTGAAAAGAAAAATGAAATTGACTAAATAAATCATTAATGTTACATATTATTTTTCTCATCAAATTAGAAGGGTTATGGCGTACTTTTGCGGTCTCAAAAACTATAATTAAAAAAAATATTCATAAATAATGGAGGATTTGTGACTGCAGTGGTAACCGTCAAATTTTGATCGAGCAACATCGCATGCTTCGGCTAGTAGTGGGGGTGTAACAGTGAGATGAATGTCTGTGTGTGTTGTAGGTGTCCATATGCTTTCAGCACTGAATTATCGTCACCGACTTTACCGACCTCGATCAGCTGCAGGGATCCCCATCAATATTAAATTTCAGTAATATTACCCAAATTTGCCCTTACATTATTGAAGGTTTAAAATATGTTGATTCAATTTTTCCAATACTATAATATTAATAATCTGATTTTTACGAATAATGCAATATTTAAAATTTGTTAATATACAACTGTAAATTTATTACTGAGTGAATAATTCAAATTTTAGAAAGGGGGATTTTCGATTACACAAGTAATCGTCAATCTTCCTACCTAAATTGTCGATTACCCAAGTAATCGTCAATCGTCCTACCTTAAATTAGTGATTGATAAAATACTTAAAATTTGAATATTTGAATTGATGATATTTATTTACTCAAAAATTACAAGGTTGATGTTTTTTCAATTTAAGGGCTCAAAAGTAATAGTAATAAAATATTACAAATTTGGCTATCCCTGATCAGCTGTGGTGTGGTGTTGTCGCGTTACTCGACTCGTAATGGTGGTCAAATTTTTTTTAGAGGAATTCGAAAATCAATCGAAGATATCACGCCTATATGGCACGGTCTCCTACTTGTTGTCGCCGGCGACAGATTCTCCATAGTCTAAAGTAAATGGCTTGTGGTTTTTTATCAATATCTTGAATGTCTAACCCAGGCAACATCTCGGTCAAAGTTTAGACGGTCAAGTTTCTTCCTTAAGCGGAATGCTACAAGAAGTGATTTTCAGACATTAATTTCTCACTAGGATGCCCCGATGGAAGGATCAAAATTATTACTAACGTGTGACTCAAATATGAACCTGGCATATGAGAAAATATCAAAATTATGGCGAATAATGTGAGTTTTGTCTAAACGTCCTTAATCGCATTTTTTCCCCTGAGAAAATCAGAAATTCCGGTAAAATGAATAGTCATTGGAGGAGTTCAACCAAGGGAGCATTCAACAATTACGTCACGTACTTAGGGGGGGTCTTAAATGTTGCGATGATGTGCGACGGTGGGGGGTGGGGGGTCGCGCAGGTGGTGACGTCACGCTCATATCCTTTTGTTTCGCATTCGATTTTCAAGAAAAAAAATGAAAAAACTGACAAATAATTTTCTTTTGTTTCGTCGACCAAGAGCATCTCCCTATACCGCAGTTTGCCAACGACGACGAATCTGTCATTATTTCAATGGAAACTCATTTGACTTGCCCCTGGCAATAATTATTTTCAGGTCGATATGGGTCAAAGTATTTTTAAGATTCGTGATAAAAATTTCTAAGAAAGCATTAAGTTAATGCTGTGATGACAATGTTATGAGTTATATGTATTTATTAATATTAAATAAAGAAAATTATTGATGGAGGTTCTATTCAATTACTTGTTGATTTTTATAAATTCTTTTTTTTTTAATGTCTATTTTTTAATTCGATTTTTCACATTGATCGAGGGGGGGGTCTTGATATCGTGACGTAATATGTCAGGTGGGGGTCTTGCGTTTGTGACGGCCCGTGACAAGGGGGAGGGGGTCCAAAATACCCAAAAAAAAGCGTGACGTAATTGTTGAATGCTCCCCAAGGTAATGTGCGATATTCTCTAAAGTATCATGATTGTCATCATTGTAGATT